TCAGAAAATTTCTCGCGTTGATGAACACTATATAAAAACGTAAATTCTCCATCATTGACTAAGACTATCAAAGGATTAAAGCCCTCGCAATCGGCGATCTCATACTAACACGCAAAACTACCAACAGTTCTCACATAAAAAAAATAATAAAAAAACCCTACTCTCCTTGAAACTCTAATACAACTATCGAGACTACTCTCACAAAATGTGATGTCTTTATAGAAACTTTGTATAACTCTTTATACAAAGAGATATACGAAGGGGTGCAACTGTAGACACCACATTTTGTCCGGAGCAGCCATCCTGTAGGTCATCACTTTGAGCCAAAAAAACAAATCAGGTGCTTGCAAAGACAAAAACAAAATAAGTCAGATAAGTCCAAACCCGAATTCAAAGTCTACAAGTTGAAACCAAGATATTGGAGCCCAGTTCAGCCAAAGACTAGACCGAGACCGTTTAGAGCCCAACCAAAAGCCTAAGTTTAGGTCAGAACCAAGTCTCAAACAGTTCAAAAGCTCATATGGAAGGATGAAGTCAAACTCAGTTCACTTCAAGCCCAACTCCTGGCCCAAGTCGGCCCAATCTTTTCCACCCCTGACCAGTCAGAACCGGCCAAGCAAGGTGAAGCTCTCAAACACAGCCTCAAAATCAACCAATCACAATGAAGCAAAGGGGCATGTTTTTGTTCTATAAATGAGCTCTATGGCGCTCTTGTTAAAGGCACGACTGGAGAGAGGATAAAAAGGCTACAAAAAACAGAAATTTGATAGGCAAAAAAGACCTTGTTCTTTCTCCTTACTCTTTCTTTAGAGAAGCTCATTTCAGTTCAGAGATCTTCTAGAAAGGAGCATAAAGGGGCATTATTAGAGCCAGAAATCCCAACAAGGTTGGTGCTTGTAATCTCAAGTTTCTTCTTATTAATGAGATCTCATGTAGTCAATTTTATGCTCAATCACAATACCGTTATAATCTATCCATCTGCTTGCCTGTTAATCTCTAGCAGTTTTATTTACTTCATGAGCTCCTTTACATTCAAGCCATCGGTTGAGTTTCTATCTAAGCAATATATTATTATCGCAATCTACGTATATCCATTTTCTTTCGATTGAATGTCGTTTATGTAGCAATAACTAATATCTCCCATCTAAATTCGCTCGCTTTAGTTACCATCATTATTCAAATTTCTTGGTAAACATAGTTTTAAACTTAACTTTAGTTTAAGTTGCGGCTTCTTTTTAAGCATATATAACTTAAACAAACATATAGCTTTCGATAGCCAAATTTCACCAACATAAAAAAATATGATTTTCGTTTTAAAACCAAATCCAACAAAAATCAACATATCACAATAAATATAAGATTTTATAAACCCATAACTGTTTTTGAAAATTAACCTAGTCTAATAAAAATCACAAGGAGTGGTTGTGAGATCGAAAAAGGATTTACATTTTTTATAAAAATCGACAATTTATGAGTAATGATCATAACTGTAAAGTTCCTTTCTTTTCCCTATACCCTAGATCCTGAATATGCAAACACAACCACATTCATTAAGATCCAGATCTATTGAACCAATTTCGAAATAACCTAGAATACTATCCTTTTTAGCCTAATCACCCTAATCGTACTAACTTGAGTTTAAGAAAGAACCTACCTAGATCCGTTCCCTTTCAAACCCTGAATAAAATAAAACAAGTAGATCAGAAACCCAAAACTAAGAGATGAACAAATAGGAAGGAAAAAAAGCTACTCACCAGATCTGCGAGCGCTGAATCGCCAGCGCCGGAGCACCCTCTGCTACCCATCTCCGTCAACTCTTTCTCCCTTTGATAGAGACCAAACCCCTCAGAAGCCAAAATCAACCGCCCAAATCAAAACCCAAAGTGTCAGAACACCATTCTAAACCTAGAAAACGAAAGGAAACCCACATGCAAGCCAAAAACATACCTACCTAGATCGCCATTTTGCCTAGTGAATTTGGGGAAGCCCGTGTCGTTTCCTGTGCTCGGCGATCGAAGAGAAGCAGAGGGAAGAATGACGAAGCTTTGCCGTTGGGAATCTTACCGCTGAAAAATCCCTTCTCCCCTCGATCGAACCCAAAAATAAGAAAGGAAGAAGGTTAGAAACTTGAGCCGCGCCAAAAAAAAACCCAGAAAATCGAACATGCAAAACAAAAACCCGCCACTTACCCTCAATTTGGAAGCTGACGGGTAGATCGATGGCGTATTTTAGGCTGTGAGTCCGACTGATTCCACGGCGGAATTATGAATACGAGAGGGATTTTCTCCTTTTGTTTCTCGGGAGAAAGAAGGAAGTTAATCAAAGGGGAGGGTTTCGGATTTCAGAAAGAGGAAGAGATTTTTTAGGGTCTCTCCTCTTTGTTTCGTTTCATAGAGAACACGCGAAGGGAAAGAAGGGGAGATGGCGGCGACGAGAAGCCAGAGGGGGTCTCTTCTTAGCTAGAGGAAACGAGAGGAGAGAGAGGTGAGAGGAGAGCGCGGCTAGGGTTTTAGTTTGCTTCTGGAAGAGGAAGAGAGAAGTGGAAGGATCGAGAGGGAGAGAGGACGAGAGAGAGAGGTGATAGGGAGTGAGGCGGTCGTTTGCTTTAGGGATTAGGGTTTGTTTGAGATGAATTTATACTCACCTACAAATGACTATTCTACCCCTAGCATTTCTAACTAATTACACGGTCGTGCCCCCGTCCTTTTGAGTAATTACCAAACTGCCCTTCCCCCTTCTCTGCACTAAAACAAGAACCCAAAATTTCGTAGTTAATGTGCATCAAACCCTCGTTCTTGGGGTCGAACATGGTATGGGTCTGGCAACTTATCCAGTTGGGATGCTAGCCCATCATGCATAAATTTATTCATCTTGTCTTTTTTTATTGTTTAATATCCTCAATACGAAATGTGAAATAAGGATTAAGTTAGCTATGCTTCTTGTCTAATACATGAAATTTCTCCTTAATGATTAAAATTCTTGCATTCATCTTAGTAACATCATAATAATCTAATTGAAATTTTATTAATAAATTTATGATGCAAAGATAACGTTCAGTGGAACGTGAATAAAAGTTAGGATTAAAATTACCAAAGTTAACAAAACTCTTAATATGAAATGTTGAACGCGGATTAAGTTTATCCTATTTCTTTTCTAATACATCAAATTTCTTTTTAATAATTAAAAATCTTGCATTTATTTTAGTAACATAATAGTAATGTAAATTTTATTAACAAAATTAAAATTCGAGAATTATGTTCAGTGGAACGTGATAAAAGTTATGATTAAAACTATGAATGTTAACAAAATCCTTAATGCGAGAACCACGATCGGTGGAACGTGGTAACAATTACATTTAAAATTATCAAGGTCCCTAACGAACTACGTAGACTTTGATCTCGTGTTATGGGTACGTAGGCAACCGATAAGGTTCGAGTCCAACTAACCAATTAACTTTATCTTTTACGTCAGTGGGCGTACAATTAAATTACAATTAATACGATTTAATTTCTGTAATGGTCCAGTGGGACCCTAAAATTACAAAAATATCACAAAAATACACCCCAACTCGTATAAAACTTATCGACTTAAGTAGTACCGATTTAGGGCGTTGTGGGGTGTGATTTCACTTCCTCACACGTAACCATACTCTTGAACCCGAATCTCTTAACTGCAGACCATACCTCGATTCTGACCCTAAGGTCGGAGCCGATTCAAAGAGTGTTTGCTCCACTCCAAGTAAGATCGATGTCGACTCCCAAAATGCCAACTCGACCCCTGAACCCTGGAGGGACGGTTGCGACGCCGTGAGTACGAGGCAGTAAGTGGGCAAAAAGTAAACCTTCACAAATCCTCCATGTGTGTTAGTGCTAGTGTGACAGCTGAGGAATTTGATGCCCTCACCTCCTTCCTGGGAGTCGGACAGATGGGGGTTGCATATAAGTACTTGGGGCTTCCATCTCAAGTCCATAGGTCTAAAACCTTGACTTTCCTGTTTGTTGAGGAAGCCTTGGCAGCGCGCATCCGGAAAATGAAATCTCTGTCATTGGCTGGTAAGGAGGTGGTTATCAAGGCAATTGGTGCAGCTGGCCCAGTGTATGCCATGTCATCATTTCGGCTCCCCTCCTCCATCTGTCGGCGCTGCAACAACCTGTTATCCAAGTTCTGGTGGGCAGGACAAGACAAGGAAAATGCCATTCGATGGCTATCCTGGACGGCTGCTTGTTATAGTAAATTTGCAGGGGGTTTGGGTTTCCGTGACTTAGATAGATTTTATGTTGCATTGCTTGCTATATAGGCCTGGCGAATCATGCTCAATCCAAGAGGATGCATGGGAGAGCTATATAAAGCACGGTAGCATCCTCACCATCATTTCCTCGATGCTCAAGCAGGTTTTCGGCCCTTGTGGGCATGCATGGCAAGGAGTCTTGGAAGGACGAGACCTGCTAAAGCGTGGCCTTAGGTGGCAAATTGGCTCAGGGGACTTTGTTCACGTTGTTGAGGACATTTGGCTTCCAATGGATCCTCTATCATCGCCGTGTCTGCTGGCTGGGATCACCTCTTGCCCTCAAAAGGTGGCGGATCTAATCTATAGTGAGACCCGAACTTGGAAACGTGATGTGCTTCTCTCCTACTTCACTTATGAGTCCGTTCAAGCAATTTTGAGTATTCCCCTATCCCTTCGCTTGACTGACGACCGTCTCATTTGGAACTACTCTCCCACGGGGGACTACACAGTGAAAACGGGGTTTTGGAAGTTACTGTGGAATCTTCCAGTGCCGCCAAAGCTCAAAATTTTCTTTTGGAGATTGGTCAAGAAGTTTCTTCCTTTGAAATCAGTCCTGCTGCAGAAGACTTTGGTGCCCTCGGCCACTTGCCTCGTTTGCTCTAATGGCCCGGAGACTTTTAGCCATTGCTTCTTTCATTGTAGGGTGAATCGGCCTTTATGGAGTCTTGTTGGTTTTGCAAATGTATGTAACAACCGGGAGAGCTTGCAAGTG